GCGGCGTCTGAGTAGAGGGCGGCGGAGAGCTGGTAGAGGCGGCTGGAATGCTGGATGACCCGGTCGAAGAGATCAGTCACGGCCAGAAGGCGGCAGGCGGCGTCTCCCGGCGGGACGCACGTGGTCGCCACCGCGCAGGCGCCGGGCGGCTTCTCCTCCAGCGCCCCCAGCAGAAGGAGAACCGGCCAGGCGGTACCTGCGAAGAAAAAAAAGAGCGGGCAAGAGTCAGGGACGCCCAGGAAGAGCTGCCGTCGCCGCTAGGCGAGCGACCCCCGGGCCCGGCCGCCACTCACTTTCTGGCCGCATGCTGCAGCTTGGACGCGGTCGCTTCTGCTCAAGCCCCTGTCGTTGGCCCTCCTAGAGTCCATTTATATAGCGTTACCCATGGGGGCCCGTGCGTGCCGCGGGGTAAACTCAGGCGACCTTGTGTGTGTGTGTGGGGGGGAAACAGCAAGACCACGAAATCTGCCTATTAGTCATCACTTCCTGCATTTCCTCTTTTTAAGGGTTCGCGCCGCTCGCAGCGCCCATTTACCACATCGTGCGGAGCGATGGCTTTAGGCGGGGAAACAGTCCTCAGAGGAACTCTTGAGAGCGTGAGACGACCGTAGTTAAAAAGGGAAAACGGCGGGGGTGGGGTGGGGAGGCGCGGAATCGAAGCTCTCTGTGCGTCTAGAAATAGTTGTTGACGACGATCCTTTAATCATAGAATAGGCCTTGGAAGGAGGAAAAGAGGTAAAGGGGCCTCATAACTGTACATTTCCACAGAGGATCTTAGTTCAAATGCGAAATACAGTACAGTATTCTGCAACTAGAAGGCGAAGACACCCTGGTGCCTGTCGGCACAAGTAACTCAGTGCTATTTCGTCCCTAAGGTTGTGATCCTGGACACCCAAGATCGGGTACTTTATGCTTTTGATTAAATCTTTCCTCTTGAGTTTTCACTCGGAGCACCATTCCGGATATTTCTTGCTGTTTCTTATTTACACTGTTTCAAGTCAGCGATTTCTAGAGTCTTCCAGGTGTGCATGCTTATAACTGGAAAATTTGAAACTAACAACCCTGTACAAATATTAAGGGATGAAGGATTCATCTCATGTTGAAATCTACAGGCAGTGTTACAGCTTGGGTCCAGGCTACCTGAAGGACCGGATCTCCCTATACGCGGCTTCTCGGGGATTAAGATCAGTGAGAGGTGCCAGCACAAGCACAGCTGGTGGGGACACCGGAAAGGGCCTTCTCTGTGGCAGCTCCCAGGATCTCTGTATAGAGAATTAGTGCAGGGAAATCGCCCCAGAGGGAGACCACAGCTGCGATACAAGGACATCTGCAAGCGGGATCTGAAGGCCTTAGGAATGGAACTCAATAGATGGGAACCCCTGACATCTGAGCGTTCAGCCTGGAGGCAGGCGTTGCATCACAGCCTCTCCCAATTTGAAGAGACCCTTGTCCAGCGGGCCGAGGCAAAGAGGCAGTCACGAAAGCAACAAAATCAGGGAGCTGGACAGGGGACAGATTGCATTTGTCTTCAGTGTGGAAGGGATTGTCACTCTCGAATTGGCCTTCTCAGCCACACTAGATGCTGTTCCAAGTCCTTCATACAGAGCACGTTACCATAGTCTCTCGAGACTGAAGGATGCCTAATCTAAATCTAAAAAGTACAGGGGGAGAAATCCTAGTAGATTCTTCACTTCGAAGTAGGTACTTACAAGCTGATTTTCAGAGAGGAATACTGAGTAAATCCAGCTTTTCTTTGCCAGTGATTAATTCAGTATAAGAGAAGAATTGTACCTGTGGGAGTTTTTATTTTCTTTCCAAGAGCAAGTTCCACCACATTACTCTGTTAACTAGACAACCTTCAAAGAGGGTTAAGAGGAAAATTAGATTTCATGTAGCTTCAGAGAACGGTTTTGATGCCTACAGGCTGGTGTGAATTTAGAGCTTACAAAGTGAGTTAAATGGGTTTCACTTACCATTACTACCACATTAACTCCTGTACAGTATTTGTTCCACAGAAGAGAGATTCTTAGTATTAAGCGGTGTATGTGGAAGTACTCAATGTGTACTCAGCTATTGCAGAGCTTTCTTTACTTGGGTCAAAAGCACCACAGTACAATTAACAGAATTAGGCAGAAACATGTATATGAGCATATAAAATAGAAATTAGTTTATAAAATAAAATTTGAAGCTTAAATAAGTATCAGACTATTTTTGCCTAATAATGAGCAACACCAAGAGCATGTAGGGCAGCTAATCTTGTGTCTTCCCATTTGTTGAGGAGCATAAAGAATCCTGATATTGGTGTGACATTGCTGGTTTTCCACACTTGCAGAGAACTGTGTCTGTGTGACACAGCTGATACCCAGATATATTTGTGGGGATGGATAGAAAAGAATAAGAAAAAACCATGCTTTAATTAAATGGATTGCTTTTTTAAAAGTATTAAAATGTAATCCACCATTTTAATTTAAATAGGCAATTGTTTATTAATTTTCCACAATACTGTAGTATTTGTGAGAAGTGTTTTATTACATGTTATCCTGCCCTCCCATTTGTATCCCAGTAGCTTCCTGCAACATTTTTATGCTCATAGCAACCTTATGAGATAGGGTAGGCTGGGATGTAGGGACTAACCCAAGGCCCCTCAATGAGCTTTCTAGCTAAAGAGGTGCTGAAGCCTTGACATATTGGCCACTAGGAGAAAGGCTGTGATCGGTAACTCAAAAGTGTAGTCACAGAAATTACTGCTTGGTATTTTGAAGCTTGTGTGTGCAGGTAGGTGTGTCAACAGTGTCAGTGAATGTATTTCATGCTTCTCCAAGCTTCAGCAGAGCAGAGCAACGTACATGAGATTCCCAGATGTCCATCCATCAAGAAAGTGCTGAATTGGGCAATATTATCACGATACGACTAATACAATGTGTTAGCCTTTAAGATACAATAACATTATTTGTTACTTTGACAGTCACTCCACCCCCTCTGGAAACTGGTCAAAGACCAAATCTCCTTAGGTTTCTGACTGTTCCCTATAATATGGGAATTAACATTTTCTGACTTTCCTACAATGTGAATCATATTTAAAAGAGGACTGTCTTGTGTTCTCTGATCCACTCTCTAACTCACTTTTCGACCATTCCTGGTGCCATTTTAATGAAACTAGCTCGGTGCAATAACTTACCCCTTGCTGAGTTTCTCTGGAATCCTTCACAACTAGTAATGTTAGATAACAGACGAAACAATCCCCATGTCTTAGTCTAGGCTACATGTCTAATAGAGTAATGCAACAAAGTTCCAGAATGCAGAGTTCTCCAGATAATGGATCACTCTGACCTGAGAAAGTCATTACTACTTAAATAGGCTCTTGACCCTTCTGAACCCATCAAAATAAGTTCTCCAGTGAGCTTTCTAAAAGCCAGGTGATCTCTCAGGTGTCCTGTTTCCTAGGTGTAGCTGGGATAATTTATAGTTTTGATTCGAAGTGTCAACCTTGAGTGTCTGGCATTTCTCTCTGGTCAGATGGCCCTCTATCATTCTTGCCATCACAGCACCTCACTCTCCCACCACTCCTGGTGCCATGCAGTCATACTAGTTTGCTACGGTAAAGGTAAAAGTTCCCCTTGACAGTAGTCCAGTCATGTCCGACTCTAGGGGGCGGTGCTCATCCCCATTTCCAAGCCATAGAGTCAGCATTTGTCTATAGGCAGTTTCCATGGTCACGTGGCCAGCGCGACTAGACATGGAACGCCGCTACCTTCCCATTGTAGTGGTACCTATTTAACTACTCACATTTTAACATGTTTTCGGACTGCTAGGGTAGCAGGAGCTGGGACAAGTGACGGTATGGCACAATAAATCACCCTTAACATATTACAGTGGTGCCTCGCTTGACAACGTTAGTTCGTTCCAGCAAAATCGCTGTAGAGCGGAAACATCAAGTGAAATAAAAGAGCCAATTGAAATGCATTGAAAACCGTTCAGTGCATACCAATGGGCTGAGCACCTGCTTGTCCAGCAAAGATCCTCCATATGGCAGCCATTTTTCTGTTGCCTGTCTTGTGAAAAATGCCTCCTAACTGTTTCCTGTCTTGCGAAAAATGCCTCCTAAAAACAGCGGGGAGCCATTTTGAGCTGCTGGTGGCCATTTTGAAAACCCAACAATCAGCTGTTTTGATCGTCATAATGCGAAGAATCGGTTCCCGAAGCAGGGAACCGGTCATCACAAAGCGAAAAAAACCCATTAAAACATTGTTTTGCAATTGCAATTGCGATTGCAAAAACATCCTCGTGAAGCAGATTTATCGTTATATGGGGTAATCGTTAAGCGGGGCATGACTGTATTTAGGACTTGCCCCTGGAATTCTTCCAAACCAGTAATGTCAGAAACAGCATTTATTTCCAAAATGCTCTGTGTTGTACTATATATCCTGTGTTTTGTTGATCAACGTCTCTGTTAAGGCCATAGGATCTGCCCCTAAATCCTTGCTTCTGAATCCTGTAGTCAGCTACTGAGTGAGAAAGAGGAGAAGAAACACAATCATGTAAGCAAACTATTAAAGGACTTCCCGAATCTGAAGGCGGCAAGCTTGTTGCCAGATCAATTACCAGAGAGAGAAGGGGTGACCATAAAGGAGACTTTGGAATGGATGGTGGTGGTCTTCCCAAGGGGGCAAGATCCCTGGAAAAAGGTGGTACGCCCGAATCCCACCTTCAACAAGCCAACCCCAGAGGGGGATTGGGCCCGCCACCCATGTTGTGGCACCCTACCGTATGTGCGGTGAGGAGCGCCCCGTTGAGGAAACTTACAGACAAGGAATGCTTTGGCCCGGCACCCCAGTATTAAGAAATAGTATGTGCGGTGAGGAGTGTCCCATTGAGGAAACCTACAGACAAGGAATGCTTTGATCCGGCACCCCAGTATTAAGAAAGGACATTGGTTATGATAGAATTGTACGTTTTGATAGACAAATGATTGGGATCAGTTTTATCCCACTGAAGTTGTTATCGATACCCCACTGTTAAATACGAATAACTCTGTTAACAGTTTAACGGGTCGTCTGCTTCAATTTCTGCGCCACTTTTGGGACTGTCTAAGTCTTTCCAAGAACCTTTTGACATTGGGTCACATGTACCCCCTAAGATCTTTCTTTGTGGCCCTCCAACCTGCTTCTTTACTGCTGTCACCCTCAACACATTTTCCCTCAGATCCACACTGTTCTTGCCTCAAGTGGCACCATTTACTGCTGTTTTTCCTTTCCCTTTCTTACCTGAAACAAAAAACCAAAACAATCACTGTATTGTTTCTTCAAGTTCTCCTTCTATCAGCCCACTCTTGGACATTCTCCACATTAGCATTTTGGCCATTCTGGGTGCTTTTCTAGCCAGAAGATTTCAGGTACCATACCACTCATCTTTTTCTCTCCCTCTTTCCAGGTATTATCGTGTTGAAGGATATATATCTGTGTAAGGAAGATACAGCAGCTGTGTGGATGGGTACAAGAGTCCTGGCCTGCTTTTGCCAAAAAAAGGGGGGGGGAAGGAGAGTAAAAGGCCTGGTATTTCTTTTAAAAGAGGATACCAAGTGTTTCGCATACTAAACATTTCTAGAGGCTCCACCCATCGAGGTTGGTCCAAGTGGCTTCTGAGGTTTCTGGTGAGGTTGAGACAAAAGCCTTCTTCCTCAACAAGAGCTGGTTGTTCTAACTTTTTGCCTTCCTTGCTTTTGCCTCTCCTTCCCCACCCACTCCGGATTGGACTCTCCTCAAGCATCTGTGATTTCAGGAACTGGTGAGTGACCCCTTGGGTTCTCTCAGTAGGCAAACCTATACAGTTCCCCTTCCCACATCTTCCTCCAGCCAGGTTCCCTTTCCCCTGGCTGCCATTTTGCTTCTCATGATTGAGGCTTGGCTGACAGGCAGTAATGTGTATATATACCCTGCATATAATTCAAAGCCAAATTAATGGCATATCCTTACTGCTCCAGGCTGCCCTTTCATTTGCTCTTTCTCTCTACCTGTCGTTTTTTTCCAGGGCAACAATTTTTAAAGCATTAGCATGTGTATTAGCAACTCTGCGCCCTTTCATTTGCTCTTTCTCCACCTGTCGTTTTTTCCAGGGCCACAATTTTTTAAGCATTAGCATGTGTATTAGCAACTCTGCCATCTAGTAGGTCACAAAAAAAAGCAATGATTTAAAAAACAAACAAACAAACCATAGGGGTCTTTAAACTCTAATACTACTGGTCCAAAAAACCTCTGCCCTGGTAAGACAATACTGAGGAATTTGTAATTTCCCTATACGGATCACATAAAATGGGCTAGATGAAAATGTAGAGCTCATGTCCTGTATTTCCACATATTTTTCCTTTTTTTCAACCCTAATGGCCACATCATGGTTGGATAAACAACCTGATTACTCTTGGAAATGTTGGTGCATATATATGCATGCATATATAATTGAATGTCTCATTTAGAGATCAGATAGAACAATGATCTGTCATAAAGATATAAGCAATAATGATGGGTGTAATCCGATATCAGTGAGCTTTGAAAATAGATTAATTCAAATCCACAAAAATAGCTGTGGACTAGTCATTGGAATGAACCATTAAAAACTTACACATTACCAAGACTCATTTCTTTAAATTACAAACTGAACATGGGAAGCATAATTATCCAGAATTATTGAGCCAAATCCAGAATGGAAAAAGCTCTAATTCAGAGAAATATCTTCCTTGTTTTACATTAATATATGCTGTCTTTCCCCCCAACTCCTTATTCTCTAATTTTTTACATTAACAAAAAATTAAATTAAAATAAAATATATTATATTATATTAAAAGGACATTGACATGTTAAAGAAGTGATTTTTCCACTTCAGATGCTTGGTAATTTTTAAAAGGTTGACGTGCTTTCCTGTCCAGAAATGGGAATGGCAGTGCATCAACAAAAGGTGATAATCACTGTTGACAATTATGTTGGAGCAATTAGTATGGGGTAAAGAAAACAGCATGGCTGTTAAATGAACAGTTTTAGCAGAATCATGTGGCAGTTAGTTTCAACTGGTCTGTCAGCTTGCAAAGTTTGAGTCCACCGATTAATTGCCAGGGGAGGAAAGACATAATATAATACATAATAAAGAAAATGACCTGATACATTTCAAGCTGAACTTCTCTGAAGAGCCAGAAAAATGTGTGCTATTCTATTTAGGACATGGTAGGCAAAATACAATCTTCCAGATGTTCTTGGGCTGCAACTTGCAGTGCTACTCACCACTAGCTATGCCAGCTAGGACTGGTGGGAGGTCCACCAACATCTTCAACACGATTCAAGTTGCTGGTTATTACCTATAAAGCCCTTAATGGTTTAGGACTCTGATACTTGTTGGAACATCTCTCCTACAAAACAGCTATCCATCCCAACCACTTTCACAGTTTATGGTGCTAAAAACAGCTAAGCTGAAGGAGGCCAAAAGAATAAGTGTGAGAAATCATGCTTTCTCCATCATACCTCCATCTCTTCTTCCAATAGAAGGTGAGCAGGCTCCTTGTCTCCAAGTTTTTAAGAAGCAGATAAAAACTATAATTTTAAAAACAATTTTTATTAATATTAAACTGAGATTTTAAGCTGTTTAATTGTCTTTATTGTAGTTGGGTTGTTTGTGGTGTGGGGTTAATTATTGTTTTTATAAATTTTACATTTATAGTATATTGTTCTACCCGTGTTACCCGGGCGAGTCAGGAGGTGAGGCTGAGGTTAAAAACAATTTTTATTAATATTAAACTGAGATTTTAAGCTGTTTAATTGTCTTTATTGTAGTTGGGTTGTTTGTGGTGTGGGGTTAATTATTGTTTTTATAAATTTTACATTTATAGTATATTGTTCTACCCGTGTTACCCGGGCGAGTCAGGAGGTGAGGCTGAGGAGCCTGACGCTGAGGGAGGCCCGGAAGGAGAAAACAAGAAACCGGGCCTTCTCGGCGGTGGCTCGTCGCCTGTGGAACAACTTACCTCCTGACATTCGCGCAGCTCCCTCATTGGGTATTTTCAAGAAACAACTCAAAACATGGATGTTCAGGCAGGCCTTCCCCCTTTACATCTAATGCCTAATTATTCTTTTTCTTTCTGTTATAATATACCCTGTTTCTTGCCATCTTTGGAAAAAAAATTATTCTATCTTTTAATTATCCAAATTTGTTTATGTTATGTGATATGTTAAAAGTTTAAGTTTTCCTGATCTAGGATATCTGCTCCATTGCCTACTCTCAGTGTCCCACCGTAGATAAGGGATTTGTTTGTCTCTAATATTAGGCAGTAGTTTGAACCTGAGGGCATGTCTTATCTTGATAGCCTTTTGGAAAGATGCACCTGCAGGTTCATAGTGGCCAGATAGAAGGGACAGAACAATACATCCTTGAAACAAGTCGGCCAAGGACAGGAAGGATGTTGCTGTTCACAGGGAGCACAACTTCACTCGGTTGAGTATGGGGTTGTACGCCTGGGATAAGGCAGAGAGTATAAGAAGAAAGTACTGTGACCATGGGACCCTTAATATTCTTTTGATAAATGTGCAAATATCAAATCATAATAAAAACAAAATAATCATCAAACAACAATACAAAAGTAGTACAAAAGGTAGCAGGAATGATGACTGGCCCTTCTACCAGCAAGAAGAAAACAATAGCAATTAAAGAGAGAAGTTTTGCCATTATTCCCCAGCCAACAAATATATAAACACCAGGGATGAAGTCAAATATGAGAAGACTGCTGATTTAAATGTTCATTTAGACCTTCTTCTCAAATCTTCCTCACTTTCCCACCCATTTGATTCACATACAGTGTATACGGTAAATAAAATTGCCTGAAATTTGAGTTTATTGTTCAATAAGTTAATATTCTCATTTTGCCTACAGTATTAGCAAATGGATGACTCATGGATCAAGTCATTAAAATTCTACATCAAGCTGGAGGCAAACATATGTGCAGCTAATTTTTGTCTAGTGGCCCACCATGTGACGAGCTTTTAATATTTGTGAGGTAGAGGTTAGTGCATATCTCAATGCTATGTAAAATTACTATGACCTTTAATAGTCTTTAATCAGATTTAGCAAGAGAATAGCGGCAGGGGCAGGCGCTGCTTGATACATTAATCTTAACCTTGACCTGAAATTCTCCTCCAGATGGATGGGAAGATAAGGATTCTAGAGTAATATATAGCATTTTGAACTGTGGTCACGGAGGTTAAAGCTATCAATAGCTACTGTCACGATGCCTTCCATATCAAGCGAAATATGCCCTGAAACATCAGTTGATGGGGAGCATGAGTGGAAGAATCCTATTGCACTCATGCCTTTATTATGGGCTTCCCATATAGGCACGCAGTGAGTCGTCAGAACAGAATATTGAACTAGGCAGGTCTTTGGTCCAATTCAATAAGACTCACTTAAAGTGCTTTCATTTTAGCTGTATGGCTCTCCTAGGTCTATTATATAGCAATAATATCACATACAGAACTTAGAAGCAGTCAATTTAATTATTTGTACTGTATTTAATATCTAATCATAAATAACTCCTAGGATTAATTCCTTTTTTGCAATAACTAAGGCATAAGTAGGTTAAATCACTCTCATAGTCTAACAAGGAATCCTTTCACTCCTCTTGTGGTATTACTTTAATTTGTGAGTTAATTTTATGGATGTGGTCTCACTAAATAATGGAGGAAGAGTACCACACAGTTTGAGTGCTGGTTTGTGTTGTGTCTGTTGCTGCTGCCTCATGTTCAGCTGGGGGTGCAGAGGTGTCAATAAAGTGGATGGAAGGACAATGCTTTGTACCATAGGCCAGTAGATTCTAGCACTGAGGTGTGCCCCTCATTCCCAACATCTTTTTGGCAGTTCTGTAAGCACAATATGGCAGAAATACGTATAGGGCGAATCAGGACTGTATAAGTTGCATAATGAAATTTATAAGGTAGTGTGTGAAGAAGGGTTTCCAATCTGTGGCCCCCTTCAGATGTGCCATGGCTCCTCTAGAGAATGGCTGAAGCACCTATTTAATGATTTATTTGTCTCAGTATCTATAATTATCTAAGGCAAATCACTGAAATATATCCACTTCAGTTACATTGTAGAAATGGGCAAATAAAAATGTATTTATTTAAAACTCTAATTGCAACAGATCTTTTTGTGCCTTCTCAGCACAATGACAATGGATTATTTCTGAAAATAATGTTTCAAACTCTGATTTGATAAGCTGAGAGGGGATGGCTAACCAATTGCTGTTCAGAATATTAATGGATAGCATAGCTTGGAAAAATTCCTTTTCAGACTATTGTTCCCAGATGTCTGAGATCTTTGGTCCAAAAAGGTAATTTTTCCAAGGTATGATTAAGAGTCTGGAACAAAGACAGTAAAATCCAGGGGTAAACTATGGGTAGCACCTTGAGGGGAAACTGTACCTGTCCTACATGTAGATTTCTCAGGAGATAAAGTGGTCAGACACTCCAATTTCTTTAAGAATTTGCCATAGTTTGTTGTGGTTGACACAGTCAAAGGCTTTTGCATAGTCAATGAAGCAGAAGTAGATGTTTTTTTGGAACTCTCTGGCTTTCTCCATAATCCAGCACATGTTAGCAATTTGGTCTCTAGTTCCTCTGCCCCTTCGAAATCCAGTTTGTACTTCTGGGAGTTCTCAGTCCACATACTGCTGAAGCCTGCCTTGGAGGATTTTGAGCATAACCTTGCTAGCATGAGAAGGTACAATATAGCAGAGGGAACCAAAGATTATGCTAAATATGATATTCACTGTTATTCATGGTTTCTGGCATCTGTGGTCAGGGGCTTGAAACTGATCCCCCACAGACACAGGGGTCCTTCTGCAACTCATGCCAATAAACTCCTTGTTTGAAAGAATAGGATGTATTACTGAGGTGACAGGCAAGGTATGCTGAAGGCCACATGCGTCCTCCACATGCACAGACTAGTTACTCTTCTAAAACAAGATACAGTACATTTAGTTCATAGCTCAGAAATGTCACTTTTGGACTACAATTTACAGGATCTCTCAATCAGCATGTCCACATGGGCTGAGGAATTCTGGGAGCTGTAGTTCAACACTCCCTCCCCCAAATAAACAGCATTTCCAAGCTCTGATATTTTAATTCTAATGCATTGCTTATATCTACTCAGACCTAGGTAGCAAGGAGGATAGTGAGCCTGGCCTCCCTTAATCAGTCTCAGTGGGTGCTAGCCTCCAGTTCATACTGCATCTCTTCCACAGTTAATCACAATAAGACCAGATTCTTTCAGGCTATATGTAAAGTTGGATAATTGTTCTTTTTGTCAAATATGTCTTACAGCAATCCTAGTCGGGTGTTTGAGGTACATGCAGCATTTAAAGAGTGGCTTTATCAGTATTGTGCATTTCTCTCCCCCCACCCCAATGACTTTCCATGGCAAAGCAGGGGTTTCAATCTGGGTCTCTTAAGTTCTAGTCCAGCAGTCTTTTCCCTATACTGCACTGGCCCAATGCATTTATTTATACTGAGTTTTATTTGTCATTTTACTGACCATTTGCCCAGTTTGGAGAAATCCTTCACAATTCACTTGTTTTTTTACATGCCAGAACAGATTGGAATCATCCACTGATTTGGCTATTTTGTCAACAATGTAACCTGAGATCAGGAGAAACTCCAACATGCAGTTCAGAGGATTATACAAAGCTGCAAATAAATCTGAAGTTTCCCAGTTCAAGCCCTATCTAGTTCCTAATTGTTAAGTCCTGATTCTAAAATAGATTTTTCGGTACCCAGTGCATATTTTCCTTTTCTGTGGAAACTGCTGATGTATTCCTGACCTTTTCTTCTTATTCCATAATCCAATGCTTTCGAGTTTATGATCTGCAGAACACAGGTGGTCCATGAAGGCATTGTAGGTGGTCCATGAGGGATTGCGTTGAATGTTCAATGAGGCCCTAATCTGGAGAGGGATTAAAACAGAGGAACGAAGACAAAGAGAGAGCAAGAAAACTGTCAAAACGTCTAACCCTTTACTATGTTTATGGTGCCGTATTGTGACAAGTGCATTAAGTTTCTGATTGAACATAATACATTATTCACAACAACTGCATTTTTATATTAATAATACAAATGTCTGCAACAGTTCACAGAAGGCAGGGGGGTATGTTCCTTTTCTCACTTTCTCATTCTAATACATAACAAGTATTGCCCATCTATTGCCAAATCCTCTATGGGGAGAGACATCAAAGGGACCCATTCATCCAGATGTAAGTCGCAGTCAGAGCTTGTTTTCTTGACTCAACTTTAATAATCAAACCAACAAAATAACCACAAACTATTGTACTTTAACTGTTTCCCTTTAGTCCACCCTAACCAGTATATGCTGAGGCAGTCCTTAAATCCAAAAATGGGGAATGGTTCCATTGTGCTCCCCATCTTAGTCTCTAGAGGCTTACAATTATCCCCCACCCCCATGGGTCCTCTGTTATTGGGTGGAGATTGGGTGGCTCACACCTCAACTTCCAGCCTGCCCCCTTCACCGTGGTACTGTAGTTGGGTGGGAGTGGAAGTCATTGGGGCATGTTCTGCTGCTGGCTGCTGGCACTTCCTCTGGACTATAATGTCCTGTGGCCAACTGAAGCTCAAAAAGCCTGCAGGACTTCTTTGGGTGGCTCAGGTTGGCGCCACTTTGGTACTTCAATCCAAGTTTCCCCTTTGTTATCTTCCTCTTCCATGACCTGCCCCCAGCAGTTTTCCACCTTACCACTTTCTCCCTCCAGTTTTATATCCACAGGACCTCTCCTCTCTAGATTCTCCCCACCTTTTCTTCTTGAACCACACCCTTTCCCCTTATAGACATTTTGAGCAGGCTCCTTCTGTTGTCGTCTCTTCCTCCACCTCCACCGGTGACTCTGGTGGGGTTGGTGACTTCACAGGGGATAGGATGGGCGTGGAGAAATCACCCAAAAGGCAACTGAGGTGGAAGGCCCAGGGACCCACTGACC